GGTTTAAAGAAAAGAGTCTGCTTTTATTACCTGCTCTAGGTTGCTCAGCACTCTAGCTTCTCTGTAATTTTAGTCATGCTGTTAAACTTTGCTGTAAATGCATATTCTGTTCAATAATCAAATTTGTGGCAATACATCCCTCAATGGCTGCCATTTGAGACATTTTATATATTTGTGGAAGCAGGCTTTTAATGTAGCCAAATGAACTCGTTTCGGGGAAGAAGAGCGATTTATTAGAATTTGACTTCTCTCTTCCCCTTTCTCTCTGACCCCTCTATCATCCCTCTCTTATACTGCTATTGCCTTTAAGATTCATCCTTCGGCGTTGCTTTTTCTACTGCTAGGTAGATTGATGACTTTATCAGTTGGCTTATGTTTTTCAACCTAGTGTCACATTCAACAAGGAACCTGTGAGGTTGATGACCTTTTTTAGATTGACATCAGCAAACCATTCTTAGTTTCAAAAAGGCAATTTTTTCTGGAAATTTTAAACTAATTTGTGAAATCATTTTTTCCAAAGGAGGATGTATCTATTTATTTGTTTTTTGCATTGTAAATGTGACTGAGTTTTCAGATTGGTAGATGCCTATTGCTTAGATGGTGGTGTGGTGTTTTTCGTGAGATCGTGATCAGGTATTAAGGTTAGGGGACTGAGTTGTCTACTTTGCTAGCTGTTTGGGATCATCTTCTTCTGTATGATACAGCCATACAGGTGACTTCAGTGCTTGTGGTACCTTTCATATTTTGAATTCGTGCTTCCTTTCTCGTCATCAAGTTCTTTTGTTTGATACTCGTACGAAGTATATAAAAGCATACAGTTGTAGATTATGTATAACTTTAGGTTGAGCAGGTATCATAAAATTGAAAGCTTGCTCTTGAAAAAAGGATTCAATGCACTGAACTTAATAAAATATGCATTTGCACAGAATGATATTTTTTATTCAATGTTAAAAATCAATCGGAGTAATCACAAATCATAAACATAAACGAAACTTTACAAGGCAGCAAAATCAAACGACTTCAGAATCTCTCTTTTCCGCTCTTCATGGACAAATTTTTCAGAGAGCTTGTCCGTGAACTGCTGCAATGTATAAGAGCTGTGTGACGGAGAGGATTATGCTGAATGCTTCCATTGCAACCAGTCGGGCGTTCCTGTACTGAAGCTCGATCTCCTTGCACCCGAAGCTGCAAAATAAATTAAACATATAAGTAAAAAGAATTATATGAACCCCCTGCTTTTCAGATGTTGTGACAATTTTTACACAAAATGTTATAGGAATGAAAATTGCTTTACCCCATAGCCAAGAGAGTTAGAGTCCATGCAATGGTAGCAACTGTAACAGTGGCAGGTGTGCTCTCACGGCTCAATGACCGTAGGTTAAGGAAGCTTGAGATGCATGAGGCAGCACCTACAACTCCAGCTAGTAAAGCAAATGTCACGAAAAATCCAGTGGCCGCGTTTCCCATGGGGAAGTAAATGGGTGAAAAATGTGCAGGGAGCTCCAATCCTGGACCTGTTATTTTGAAAATCACATTATCAACATAGTGTTACAAACATTAACTCTTCTTTTTGTTTTTGCATTTAATTTACTAACAAATAAATTCTTTTACTCTCTTTTTAACAACAGTTAAATTTTCTGAAGATGTGCCTGTGTGAGAGCATAAAGCAGGAACTGGTGTTATGAGCAAGTATTAAGAACATTTTATAGAGGAGTATCAGAAATTATACCGATAATAAAACCATGATCAATTGCACGATTCATAGCCCAACCACCAATACCCAAGAGCACGACATACATGCAGAAGTTGAGGGCCAAAAGCAAAGAGGCAGCAGGTTTCATGGACTCGTTGGCCATTTCTTCAACAAGTTTTTGATGAAAAAGAACTAACAGATTTTGGTAGCCGGAAAAAGCTGTTAGCAGAAGAAAGTTTATTACAGGAAGAGCTATAAAAGGCGGTATCAGAGATTAAGGCTGGCTGATGAGTGTTGCAGGTTGTGGCAGAGGCATAAACGTCTTATATATGGTCTTAGAATTGGTATGGTTTGGTTCCTTGCTTGCTAGGAGGCTTCTTTGTGGGGTTGTAAAGGGTATGCCTTAAACTCTAGGCAAAGCAGAAGACGTGATTCTTCATACTTGGCCAAAAGAGTTAGAAAATTAGTTTTTTTGGATTGCATATTCAAAGAACTTTGTGTAGTTTGTTCTTCTGATGAGGAAAAGTAATATTCTTTGCCATCCAAAAGGATGTTGATAATCTTGATACCTCAACGGTATTGGAAACCATAACATGAAGTAACACCTTATAGATCATGGAACTCCAAGTTCCTAATGAATTGATTTGGGTTGTCCTCTGTATTCAATTATACCCACTAATCTATATTATAATTGAAGAGTCTCTTTTAACCACGTTGTCGACATAATAAAATATTACAAATTACATTTGATTTTGTTATGCGTTTCCAAACTAATACTCCAAAAATATCTATCAAATACATTGGAGAAATATTAAATATTTTAATGTTAAATTGATTAAAATGAATTGTATATATGCTACACCGGCATTACTCCTAGTCTAGTAGTCTTGTACTTTCATAATGATGCTTTATCAACTGTTGTATACTGCACTAAACACTTTTAACAACCGTTGTTAAAAGTGTTTAGTGCAGTATACGATCTTTGATAATTCTTGTACTTTCATAAGAAAGTGTTGAACTTGTCGATGTTCTAATTTGAATCACGGTAAGCTTCAAGGCATATACTCTTGTATATTTGAGACATCTCTAGGAACTAGGATGCAATAAAGCATATAATCAAAAGATGTTTAACGAGTTTATCTAAATATATACTTCATATTATATATTTGATACAAATTACACTACCTATATAAAGTGTTTGTGTGATAACACGATAAAATACACCTTTTATATCCCATATTTATATGATATTTGTCGTGAGTTCTTTCTACATTCAATTATTTAAGCGTTAATTTATATATATTTCGATTATTATTGCTCTCCTCGAATCTTTTTTCTTTGTTTTGTAGGAATAAGCTATTGTGTGAGTTGAGCTATATATTGGAGTTGTTTTAATATGACAAAGAAAACTACCAATTGGTTGTTGGTGTAGTGGTGATTGAGACTACACTTGGTAGGGAGGACCCGTGTTCGATCCCCCGCAACAACAATTGGGAGGGGACTGGAAGCTAACCACCCATAACTGATCCCCGAATCCGGATTAGCCCAAAGGTTGAACCGGGTAGAACACCAAAAAAAAAAAAATGACAAAGAAAATGAAATTACACAAAGACAACCTAGTCAACAATCGAGGTGTGGCATATGACTTTCTCCACAACGTACCCGCGGAAGCGCATTATAAAAGGAAAAAGAGCGGTGTGGCAGCCCACTCCACAGCCCGCCTGTGGCTAGTAGAGGTGCACTACAACCAAGTTGTGACCTGCTCGTGATTGGTACTTTGTATACGAAATTGGGCTTGTATGGGCTTGATTTCTGGGGAGTTTTAATTGTATTCAACTACTCTAATATTATCTTTGGCTCATTGCTTATATATAGCTTGTTTTTTTTTTTTTTTTTTTAAAAAAGATTATATATAGCTTGTTATTAGGGATAATAAGGAGAAGAGCCGCATGATAGATAAGTAGATAACTAAGAGCAGCATAGTTGGTTGTTGTTTAATAATTTTCTTCTTTGCTTATTTCTCTATTATGTTACTAGGTTAAGTCCCGTGTCATGCACGGTAATTTTTAATACTTAATACTTATCATTAGTTTAACACTATTATTTAATTATAAAAAATTATACCTAATTGCAAAATAGGATGAAAAATCTGTAACTACCAAAAAAAAAAAAATTATCACGCTAAAGAAAACAGAGAGAATAATATATGCACGACTAATAAAATAACTATGAATTACATTACAAGGTTATAGATAGCAAACTTTTATTGCATATTATTGTATAAAAAAAATAATATCTTTGTTTGAATGTGTACAAATAGAATATACTTATCAAATAGGAAATGAAATATTATAGCATAGTTTATATTAAAAACTTTTCTAAGAAGCTTTGGGCAAAAAAATAAAATTAAAAAAAAAAAAAAAAAAAAAAAACTTTTGGAGGGAAATTTTTTAACCAGGAGATGACATGTGTCATTCCTGGTTTCACCTTTAGTATAAAGTTAATTTATAGATTCTAGTCATATTTTCTAGCGTTAGGTTGAACCCTAGCCATGATTAATACTTGATTTATTCTTTTAAATTTTCAATTAATTATTTATATCGTTCATGCTTAATTGATTGTGCTTATACCAATACTAGATTAGGGATAATTGGTATTGTTATTATTCCATTGTCTTGATCGCAATGGGAGTTGGGTTTTGACGGATTTGAATAGATTAATTAAGGGTATGAAATTCTTCACGGAAGTCGGTCGAACAGATTATTGGGAAGTTAGGGTTCCGGACTAATGTCTTTAATTTGCATGATTCCACGGAAGTAGGTTTGATTGTTAATTAGGGAAGTCATTGACAACTCGGGAGAGATATCTGGTATTTTATGGGGCGTACTTTCCTTGTGAACATATAATTGATTGATTGGGATAAGAATTTGTCTTGTATTGATTATGTTAGTGGTAATACTTAATTCTAGATATTTTTATTATTTGATTTTCTTGCTTTAGTAGTATAATATTTTCAACCCTATTTTGATTGACTCGACTAGTTTTAATTCATAGTAATCCATATTGATACTACCTTCTCTGTGGAATCGATCCTGACTTACCTTACTACATATTAGGACAGTTAGACCTTTATTATTTTTGTTAGGTGTGCGACCGCCTATGTAACCTAAATTAATATGGTTAATTGATTCCAGTCTATGTTAAATCTTTGTGGTTTTTTTTTTTTTTTGGTAAATGTCAATGTCATGAAATAGACCTTTGTGCATATTTTCATAAATGCCTTGTCATAAAATAGATGTACATTAGGTTGATAAATGCATTTGCAATATATTAACAGTATAATGTACAATCAATAATACAAGATGAAACTATGAAACAATCTTTTCTATTTCTTCCATTCCTCTTATCTATTTATGCAAACGTATTGAGATTTACAACAAACAAATCAAAGCTACACTCGCAAATTTGAATCTTTTCAGAGATTACAACAAACAAATCAAAGCTACATGCACTTCCACAAACGTAACCATATTTTATATGAACAAATTTAATTATATGAACAAACGAATATTAATATAAATATGTGTTGGTAAATTGATTTGAACATCTTCTAGTTTCCTCTTTTGATTGCTCCATGAATGGCTCCAATGTACATAAGCATTGTCCCGCTAAGGATGATGATGAACGCCTCCAATGTTTTCTGCATTACGAGTAGCCAAACTTTAATAAGGAAATCGCGGTTAAATTGTATAAATACGAAGAGTTGTTTAAGGTAAAAGAAGGATGTAGAGAAAGAAAAGAAAGAATTGTTAGATCAAAGAGTTACCAGGCGATGACTATCGGTGTGTAGCCTAATATGTTTGGAAGCAAAGCTGCACAACAAAGAATGTCACGTTCATGTTAGTTTATTTGCAAACTCTAGTAGACTTTCTTGCCTATAGTATGCATAATAATTAACCAGAAAATAATAAAATGAAGATTTAGGTCACTTTCAAGTGATTAGATATTGATTTGGTTGTGATTAAAAATTAGTGTTATTTAGCAAATACATTCGAAGTATAACTTAATATTAATTTTACTTTCTTAAAAGGATGGTTTTAGTTAATAAAGATGGCACAGCCAACATAGGCACATGATAGGCACAACACAATACGCTACTGTGCTTGTGAATCTTTTTAAACACAACATGATCTAACATGACAAAACACGCTAAAATAAGTTTACTTTCACTCCCTTAACTATAACATGACACGGTGGCATGTGAACTTAAACTGTGACTAGGCCGCCCTCTAGAAATACGTAGTGAGCTTTGAGCCTAGTCAGGCCCAAGACATGTCCTATAAGGCTATGGCCATCTTTAGTAACATATGACAAAATAATTGTTAATCAACAACAATAAGCTTTGACTAGTAAATTTAGTAGTTTTAAATTACAGAAATCAATTTTACTCTAAAATAATCAATTAAAGTCTGAAATGATCAATTTATTAAATTAAAAGTAGTCTACTCTCAGTTGTCAATACTTAGCCAAAGAAACAAAAATCATCATACGTCTCTTAAGCAAAGTTGTGAACAAAAGAAGTAAAAACAGAGCATTTACCCCAACGCAAGCACGGTAAGGCTCCAAGCGACGGAGGCGGCGGCAGCGGTGGCTGGCAAGCTATCATGACCCCAATATGTAACATGGTTTAGTCCATACAAGCATGAGACTGCCCCAACTGCTCCCGCTATTAGCGAGTATGTTATGAAGAAAAATGTTGCCCCATTTTGTCCTTGAACTGCCAATAACACAAAGTATGATCCCATGTTAGCAAATAAAGTTCATTGTTACACCACAATTTTCAAAACCCATGCTCCTTTTTCTATTTTTTTTTATATATGTATATATATACTACCTCCGTTAACTATTATTTGTAGCAAAGGAATATTTTATATCTCACAAATAATACCCCTTTGTTGTAAATAATAGTTAACGGAGGCAGTAATTCTACTTTCTCTATTCGAGTGAAAGAAAATATGACAACTTGATTTGAACATTCTTAAAGATTGCTCTTTAATTCAGTTGATATAGTAGTATGGTAACTTACCACCTCCATGATCAATAATCCGGTTCATAGACCAACCACTTATGCCCAAAACAACTACATACATGCAGAAGTTAAGAAACAACAAGAAGGATGCTGCTGGCCTCATTTGCTTGTATGCCATGATGTAACACTTCAACCCTACAAAAAGAAGTTTACAAAATTAACATAAACTCTTTAATAATACATATTTCGTATAATATGTAATGTTCTCTGTCTTTAAAAGCTCTTCATGTTTGAACAATATTTGTCTTGCAAAAAACTGTTAAGAGACAGAGGGAGTAACTAATGATACAAATTAATTGTAAGTATACATCAATTATTACCTGAAAGTATCTTATGGGTTGCAAATTTGTAATAAGCCTTGGTTATATGAGAGTAAGGTTATGTGTAGTATTGGGATATTTGTAAAATGTGGGAGTCTAATTACAAAGTCACATCTATATAAAGGGAAATATTTAGATTAAAGAAAAAGATATACAAGTATTGTATATGCTTTATTTTAATGATCATATAGATCATCCTAGAAGCAATTAGGTGATTGGTAGCTGAAGAAACTATGGCCAATTTGTAATTTGCTAATGTTTTTCATTTTTATTTTACTTCAACTTTCTAGAACTGTTTTTTGACCAAAGAATGATAAGCATTGCCAACGTGGATGTAGAGGTAATTAGGTGTCAAGTTTTCTGCTAAATTGCCAAATATTTGTCCTTATTAAACTTCAATCAAAGCATAAATCATGAGTATCTTTGTGTGAATTGATTAATTGGGTTATTGGGTATGGTGTAAGAATGGATGCCTCTTTATTGGATACTCCTTGTGTTCGGATATAATAAACTAAATTATTCCAATTTGTTAGGTAGTAATAATAATAATAATAATAATAATAATAATAATAATAATAATAATAATAATAATAATAATAATAATAATAATAATAATAATAATAATAATAATAATAATAATTCAGGCAGCTTGTGGCGGTGGTTTCATCTTCCTAGCAGGTCCGGCGAAGATTCTTGGTGGTGGCTCTGTTTTCAGGCGGTTTCAGGCAGAAATTCAGGCGTTTAAGGGGCGATTTTCCAGGCTGTTTGGGTGCAGTTCCGAGTCCTTTTTCCGGCATCATCTCTGGCGTAAGGTGTGATCAGGTGAGAGGTTTTCAGTCAGGGGTATTTCAGGCGGCTTTTGGGTGGATTTCAGGTGGTTTCTCGGGTGGTTTTCAGGCAGCTTTTGGGCGGATTTCAGGCGGCTTTTGTGGGTGGTTTCTTGATCAATTTTCTGGCGAATTATCACGCTGTTTTCCTTGGGTTTTCGGGCTGCTTCAAGCGTCTTTAGGGTGCGTTTATTTTTGGTATTTTTTGGGTTGTTTTGGTCAGTTTTCAGGCTGCGGTTTTGGGTGCAATTCTGCTGTGTTTTCAAGCGTGGTTTTGCTCTGTTTTTGGGTGCGTTTTGGGTGCAATTTCAAGCTGTTATTGGGTCATTTTGAGGGCATCTTTTCTCGCGAATATTGGTGTTGTTTTTGGTCAGTTAGAGGAGGTTCTTTGTTGGTTTCTATTTTGGGTTTCGGTGATCAATATTTCCAGCGATTTTCGATATTAGGGGCTGTTTTGGAGCAGTTTTTGGGTGCTGCTTTGGAGCAGTTTTGGGTGCTGTTTTGGAGCAGTTTTGTGTGCCGTTTTGGAGCAGTTTTGGGTGCTGTTTTGGAGCAGTTTTGGGTGTTGTTTTGGAGCAGTTTTGTGTGCTGTTTTGGAGCAGTTTTGGGTGCAGTTTTTGGTCCAGTTTTGGCAGCTCTTGGGTGCTGTTTTGGAGCTGTTTTGCGGCAGTTTCTGGTGCTCTTTCGGGCTTATTTCAGTTTTGGGTGGTGCAAGTCAGCTATGTCGGCTGCCGTTGTGAAGTTTCATTGTCCCTTTGTGGGTCTTAGTGGTTGTCAAGATGGGAGTGGAAATGGCCTTACTCGACGTTCTCTAATCAAACATCTTAGTGATCGTCATTGTTGTATCGGTGCGCGAGATATCACCCGACATTCTCTTACTTCTAATTTGGCTGTTTATAATGAGGCAGAAGTTACTTTTAGGCGTATGGGGATTTGGTTATGTGGAGTTTGCTATAAAACGCACACGGTACGTATTAAGTGTCGTCATCGTGGGGATGAGGATGTGTCACCCCCTGATGAAGGAGATGGTGTTGTTCGTTTTGTGCTTCATAATTTCACCAAGCCGCAATCTCCTTCTTCTCCTGCTCGAGTTGATCGTATGGATGGATTGGTGCAAGATCATAACGGTGGTTTTGATGTGGCCCTCCTTGATTGTTTATTCTCTAAGGGGTTTCGCTCTGTTAAGTCTATCCCTCCCAAATGTCGTTTGGGGTTTTCTCGGGTTCTGAAAGGTGCTCTTGATAAGGTGATCTCTAAGCCTGATGACATTTCTAATTGGGTCTCTTTGTTGGTGTTACCTCTTTGCATCCTTAAAATCTTTCGCCCGCGGAGTAGTCGTGAGTCTCGGTCTTCGGTAAGACGTCGGCATCAAGAAGAGAGTATTTCCCGTGCTATTTGTTCTTGGAGTGTAGCGGGTGGTAATTTGCAGCTTGTGAGGGAAATTTTGGCAGAGGATTCTCCTACTTTGTCGATGGTTGATGATGAGGACATTGATTTGGAAGAGCGTAATATTAAGCAGTGTCGTAGGAAGATTTGCGATGGCCATTACACTGCTGCGGTTCGGGTTCTTTCTTCAGCAGGCGTTGCACCTTATAATGACGCCACTCTTGCAGATTTACAGTCAAAGCACCCTTCATCTCCATCTCCATCCTTGCCTGATATACCTATTGATCACCTTCATCTCGTTACGACTTCTGTTGTTGTTTTGGATCGGATTAGGAGTTTCCCTCGTGGCACATCATGTGGTAGGGATGGTTTGCGTGCTCAACATCTTATGGATTGCTTGAGTGGTGCGGCTGTGGCAGTATCAGATGAGTTGGTTGACTCTATTACTGGGGTGGTTAATCTCTTTCTAGCTGGGAGATGTCCTATGGAATTAGGAGAGTACATTGCTAGTGCTCCTCTTACGCCACTTGTCAAGCCAAGTGGTGGTATCCGTCCTATTGTTGTGGGTACGGTTTGGGGCGTCTCGTTTCGAAGGTGGGTGCTGTTATGGTTGGTCAGTCTTTAGGGAGTTACTTTGATGGCCTTCAATTTGGTGTTGGGGTTTCTTCAGGTGGTGAGGCAATTCTTCATGCGGTGAATCGGTTGATTGAGGACCGTGGTTCTGATGTTGGTTTATCTATGTTGTTGGTGGATTTTCTGCCTTCAATCTGGTTGATCGTTCGGTCATGTTACGTGAGGTACGTCGTCGTTGTCCGGGCATTTCGCGATGGGTAGAATTCTGCTATTCTAATCCAGCCAGGTTGTACTATGGGGACCAAACCTTATGGTCATATCAAGGGGTGCAGCAGGGTGATCCCCTTGGTCCTTTGCTTTTTTCTTTGGTTTTACAACCCCTGGTGTGTAAAATCAGAGAGACTTTTGATGTATGTCTTCAGGCTTGGTATTTAGATGACGGCACGATTATTGGTGACACTTTGGTGGTGGGGCAAGTTCTGCAGTTGATTATGGAGGAAGGACCTCGTTCTGGGTTATGTCTTAATGTGGAAAAAACTGAAGTTTTCTGGCCTACAGAAGACCCTCGAAGCAGGCTGGTTGGTGTCTTTCCACCTAATATTGCTCGACCTTTGCGTGGTGTTAGGTTGCTTGGAGGTCCCGCTAGTTCCGATTCTGGTTTTAGTGGTGAGCTTGTGATGCAGAGGGTGACCAAGACCATTGCCCTTATGGATAAGGTCGCTATGCTCGATGATCCTCAGTGTGAGCTGTTGTTACTTAGGGCATGTACTGGAGTTTCAAAACTCTACTTTGCATTGCGTACTTGTCCTCCTAGTACTTTTGAGGTGGCTCAGCGCACTTTTGATGCAGCTCTTCGATCTTCCATGAGCGTATTGTTACTGCTTCGGGGCCGGGGTTTGGTGATTGGCAGTGGCGACTTGCCACCTTACCATTTGCGTTTGGAGGGCTTGGTGTTTATTCTGCAGGTGATGTTCGTCACTATGCTTTTCTTGCTTCTCGGTTACAGTCTGCTGGGTTGCAGACACAACTTCTTCGGCATGCTGGCATTGTTGGTCTTGGACGAGCCTTTGAGGATGCGTTGAGTCTGTTTAATGGAACAGTGGAGTCCGACATTTTGAGTAATCCTAGTGAGGTCGCTGCCTCTAAACTCATGAAGAAATTGGCAGATATATATTTCACAAAGGTTACCGCTTCTGCAGAATCTGCTTATTCTTTAACTCCTCGACAATCAACATTATGGAAATCACAGCAAGGTGATCACACTTCTGCTTGGCTTCGGGCGGTTCCTATTTCAGGGTTGGGTCAGACGATGAACGCCAAGACTTATCGCTGTGTGTTGTCCTATCGGTTGGGTGTACCATTGTTCTCTATCTCGACGTTGTGCTCTGCTTGTTCGAGGGTTTTTGCTGGAGATATTTTCGGTGATCACGCAGTGTCTTGTGCTGGTATTGTGGGTATTAAACATCGGCATAATGTTGTTCGGGATACCCTTGTTGATGTTTGCTTTCGTTCTGGGATTTCAGCGAGAAAAGAGGTTGACATTGGGTTGGCCGGAGGGAACGACGAGGCCCTCAGACTCGCGGATGTGTTACTTTATTCATGGGATTGTGGTCGCGATGTCTGTGTTGATTTGACAGGGTCTTCTCCTTTGACACAATCAGGGCTATCTGACTTCATTCCTGGGCGGGTTGTGGCTGATGCAGCTCATCGGAAGCGGGTTAAGTATGAAGCTCGATGTCAGGCGATTGGATATGGTTTCATTCCCTTCTCCTTTTCTTCGCTTGGGGAATTAGCGAAAGAGGTTGTTGCGTTACTGAAGCGGATTCAAAGGTTCTCGACGACGCAAGACATTGGGGCTCGTGCTGCAGCTCATATCTTCACTAGGGTAGGATTTGCAATAGCTAGAGGAGTGGGGGCCCAGATTGTATCTCGGCTTCCCACTAATTTATTGTAGGTTGTATGACTTTTGTTTTTGAGATAATAATAATAATAATAATAATAATAATAATTATTATTATTATTATTATCATCAAAAAACAAAACCTACATAGTCAATCAATTTACAAGAAATTGGTAGGGCGCCGAGATACAATCTGGGCCTCCACCCCTCTAGCTATAGCGAACCCGATCCTGCTGAAGATGTGAGCAACTGCACGAGCACCAATATCCCGAGGTTTTATTATTATTATTATTATTATTATTATTATTATTATTATTATTATTATTATTATTATTATTATTATTATTATCAAAGTTATAGAAAAAGGTCAAGTGTGTCAGTTATTTTTGAAATAGAGAACTGTTGCATGATTTATGAGTCTAAAACTCTAAATATACACTTATGTCTTATAAGAATTTTTTGCCAATTTAAGAAGCTATAGTTTATTTTTAATTTTATAACTACT